ATCTTGTCTCACCACTTCCCCCATCTCGTCTCACCACTTTGTCTCACCACTGTCCCATCTTGTCTCACCACAGCCCCCATCTTGTCTCACCACTGTCCCCATCTTGTCTCACCACTGTCCCCATCTTGTCTCACCACAGCCCCCATCTTGTCTCACCACTGTCCCCATCTTGTCTCACCACTGTCCCCATCTTGTCTCACCACTGTCCCCATCTTGTCTCACCACTTTGTCTCACCACTTTCCCCATCTTGTCTCACCACTGTCCCCATCTTGTCTCACCATAGCCCCCATCTTGTCTCACCACTGTCCCCATCTTGTCTCACCACAGCCCCCATCTTGTCTCACCACTGTCCCCATCTTGTCTCACCACTGTCCCCATCTTGTCTCACCACTGTCCCCATCTTGTCTCACCACAGCCCCCATCTTGTCTCACCACTGTCCCCATCTTGTCTCACCACTTTGTCTCACCACTTTCCCCATCTTGTCTCACCACAGCCCCCATCTTGTCTCACCACTGCCCCCATCTTGTCTCACCACTGCCCCCATCTTGTCTCACCACTGTCCCCATCTTGTCTCACCACTGTCCCCATCTTGTCTCACCACAGCCCCCATCTTGTCTCACCACTGTCCCCATCTTGTCTCACCACTTTGTCTCACCACTTTCCCCATCTTGTCTCACCACAGCCCCCATTTTGTCTCACCACTTTGTCTCACCACTTTCCCCATCTTATCTCACCACAGCCCCCATCTTGTCTCACCACTGCCCCCATCTTGTCTCACCACTGCCCCCATCTTGTCTCACCACTGCCCCCATCTTGTCTCACCACTGCCTCTATCTTGTCTCACCACTGTCCCCATCTTGTGTTTGATCCATAAACCAAAACCCATTTCTAAGAATGGGGTTATTCAGTTTTTTTAATTGAACTGCATCCAATCATATGACGCCTAAACATGTTGCGAGAAAAAAGTATTTGATCATGTTGCGAGAACACAGTATTTGATCATGTTGCGAGAACAAAGTATTTTGAACATGTGGTTAGCGGGAGGGTTAATAATTTCTGTTTTGCTGATAAATTTAAAAATCTGCACTTAAATTTAAAGTTGAGTTGGGTTTTCTTTGTTCTAAAAGCACCAGTTTCTATTTTGTCTGTAGTGTTAAAACTACTTTGATAAGGCGAAGGTAGTATTATATTGCTGCCAGATTAGTCTTTGGATTGAGTTTCTGATACAGTTCAGATTTAGAGTTTGGTAGATTGATTTTAGATTTAATCTTTTGTTTCGCAAAACCCAAATTATGATTGAATTTGAATAACAAAATCAGCTAAAAATCGTATAGTTTTGAAATACTGTCATCTTAACAGATGGTTTTCGTGTTACAGTTGTGCTAGGTTTGGTTTAGTTTGTCGTTTACGGAGGATTTCATCTGATGTTATTTTTATACTAGATTTTGATTTACGAATTTATTTGCGTTAAATTAAAATATGTTATCTCAAATTAGCCTACCATTTTTCTTTTTAAATATACATTTTCAGTAAATTTTACACGTTCGATATTATAGCTAGCTGAGAATTCAGTAGTCGTAATTAGTCATTTGCAATTTAAGCTATGCTAATTAATTGATGTATAGTTTAGTTTCTACCAAAAGTTATATTAATTTAATGCGAAATCATTAACAAAAATGTCGTATACATATATCAATAATAAATGTATAGCTAGTGAAATTAAAAAGACAATTTTTATAGCACAAGGAAAATGATGAGCCCGAATAAACACAAGGACCGCATGGGGCGTTCTCATTGTGATTACGGGGATGTTTTAGTGGCCAGGGCGGTTCCTGGCCGGGACGGCTGGAGTATTTATTACTTAAACATCGTTCACCAAACTTTATTGATGGAATGAAATAAATTTTCATATTTTTGAGGATATATATATATATATATATATATATATATATATATATATATATATATATATATATATATATGTATATATATATATATATATATATATATATATATATATATATATATATATATATATATATATATATATATATATATATATACATCTCCCAGACTGTATTGATAGAAAGGATCCACCAATTTGCCCTGTATTACTCGGGAGCTCACTCAGGTTAGACTCGTCCACTGTTGACACAAACACTCCAGCAACATTAAGTGGGCCAATCTTTTCTTTCCTGACACACGGGACCCAGGATCCCAGCTCTGACCCCATAAAAGGGATCAAGCTAAAATAAACCCGTTTATTTACTCTAATCCCCTTTCATCTCTCATCCATCGCGCTTAATTTGTCCTGGCCACTCGGGCGCTAATTAGATCTGTGCTCCGTTTAGATAGGGTCTCCGTTTAGGTGGGTGTTCTATTCGCACCCAGCAGAACTGGGGCGAGCGTTGACTGGCTTCTGTTTGCCTCCACTTGACCTTGGTGACACACGGGCTCACAAGCAAGGTCAACGTATCTGGTAACTTGACAACATATCCACATGTTTGGTAACTTATCAACATATCCACGTATTTGGTAACTTATCAACATATTCACGTGTTTGGTAACTTATCAACATATTCACGTTTTTAGTAACTTATCAACAAATCCACGTATTTGGTAAATTATCAATATATTCACGTGTTTGGTAAATTATCAACATATTCACGTATTTGCTAACTTATCAACATATTGACGCGATTGGGAACATATATTCATATATATGTAACAACGGTTTGAGCTGAGCAAACATCTTTTTACGGTTTTATTTATTATTGATTAACAAACTTTAGGTGCAGGACTTCGATGTTGTTATGGAAGCAAGCAATTCATTTTTATTTACAACAGGTCTTTAAATTGTACCATTTGTCCCTTGTCTATAGCTGTACCATTTGTCCCTTGTCTATAGCTGTACCATTTTTCCCCATTTGTCCCCTGTCAATAGCTGTACCATTTGTCCCTTGTCTATAGCTGTACCATTTGTCCCCCATTTGTCCCCTGTCTATAGCTGTACCATTTGTCCCTTGTCTATAGCTGTACCATTTGTCCCCCATTTGTCCCCTGTCTATAGCTGTACCATTTGTCCCCTGTCTATAGCTGTACCATTTGTCCCCTGTCTATAGCTGTACCATTTGTCCCCTGTCTATAGCTGTACCATTTGTCCCCTGTCTATAGCTGTACCATTTGTCCCTTGTCTATAGTTGTACCATTTGACCCCCATTTGTCCCCTGTCTATAGCTGTACCATTTGTCCCCTGTCTATAGCTGTACCATTTGTCCCCTGTCTATAGCTGTACCATTTGTCCCCTGTCTATAGCTGTACCATTTGTCCCCTGTCTATAGCTGTACCATTTGTCCCTTGTCTATAGTTGTACCATTTGTCCCCTATTTGTCCCCTGTCAATAGCTGTACCATTTGTCCCCTGTCTATAGCTGTACCATTTGTCCCCCATTTGTCCCATGTCTATAGCTGTACCATTTGTCTCTTGTCTATAGCTGTACCATTTGTCCCCCATTTGTCCCCTGTCAATAGCTGTACCATTTGTCCCCCATTTGTCCCCTGTCTATAGCTGTACCATTTGTCTCTTGTCTATAGCTGTACCATTTGTCCCCCATTTGTCCCATGTCTATAGCTGTACCATTTGTCTCTTGTCTATAGCTGTACCATTTGTCCCCCATTTGTCCCCTGTCTATAGCTGTACCATTTGTCCCCCATTTGTCCCCTGTCAATAGCTGTACCATTTGTCCCCTGTCTATAGCTGTACCATTTGTCCCCCATTTGTCCACTGTCAATAGCTGTACCATTTGTCCCCTGTCTATAGCTGTACCATTTGTCCCCCATTTGTCCCCTGTCTATAGCTGTACCATTTGTCCCCTATTTGTTCCCTGCCTATAGCTGTACCATTTGTCCCCTGTCTATAGCTGTACCATTTGTCCCCCGTTTGTCCCCTGTCTATAGCTGTACCATTTGTCCCCCATTTGTTCCCTGCCTATAGCTGTACCATTTGTCCCCTGTCAATAGCTGTACCATTTGTCCCCTGTCTATAGCTGTACCATTTGTCCCCTGTCTATAGCTGTACCATTTGTCCCCCATTTGTTCCCTGCATATAGCTGTACCATTTGTCCCCTGTCTATAGCTGTACCATTTGTCCCCCATTTGTTCCCTGCCTATAGCTGTACCATTTGTCCCCTGTCTATAGCTGTACCATTTGTCCCCCGTTTGTCCCCTGTCTATAGCTGTACCATTTGTCCCCCATTTGTTCCCTGCCTATAGCTGTACCATTTGTCCCCTGTCTATAGCTGTACCATTTGTCCCCTGTCTATAGCTGTACCATTTGTCCCCCATTTGTTCCCTGCCTATAGCTGTACCATTTGTCCCCTGTCTATAGCTGTATCATTTGTCCCCTGTCTATAGCTGTACCATTTGTCCCCCATTTGTCCCCTGTCAATAGCTGTACCATTTGTCCCCCATTTGTTCCCTGCCTATAGCTGTACCATTTGTCCCCTGTCTATAGCTGTACCATTTGTCCCCCATTTGTCCCCTGTCATTAACTGTACTATTTGTCCCCTGTCTATAGCTGTACCATTTGTCCCCCGTTTGTCCCCTGTCTATAGCTGTACCATTTGTCCCCCATTTGTTCCCTGCCTATAGCTGTACCATTTGTCCCCTGTCTATAGCTGTACCATTTGTCCCCTGTCTATAGCTGTACCATTTGTCCCCCATTTGTTCCCTGCCTATAGCTGTACCATTTGTCCCCTGTCTATAGCTGTACCATTTGTCCCCCATTTGTCCCCTGTCAATAACTGTACTATTTGTCCCCTGTCAATAGCTGTACCATTTGTCCCCCATTTGTCCCCTGTCAATAGCTGTACCATTTGTCCCCAGTCTATAGCTGTACCATTTGTCCCCTGTCTATAGCTGTACCATTTGTCCCCTGCCTCTAGCTGTACCATTTGTCCCCAGTCTATAGCTGTACCATTTGTCCCCCATATGTCCCCAGGGCCCTAGCAGCCAAGAGCTACTACTCCCGTAGCGTGTCCAACTGGCTAGAATCGCTGACCCAGCTGGACACCAAGATCATCCACTCGTTCTTCACACTCATGTGCTCCGGCCACCCAGACTTTGACCAGATTATCTACGAGTCTCTCCACAAGAATGATATCGATGTAAGTAGATGACAGAGGATTGGGATACTTAGAGGGGGGGGGGGGGGGGGCTATAGTCACGTGGTTGTTTTAACGATATCAAACTGGGGTTCAATCCGGCAATAATTATTAGGGCAACAAGGTCTTTGACATCTTTATTTGTACTATATTAATATAAAATAGATAGTTAATAAAGGTTACAAAGGTGTGTGGTGTGTATGTGTATGTGTGTGCGTGTGTTTGAGCGAGTGTTTCTCATGAGTGAAACAAAAAAATGTATGTGTATATGGGTCATTGTGTGTGTGTTTGTACGAAAACAGAAGGTTGTGTGTTTGTGTGTGGAACTCTGTGGGCTGTGTTTGTGTGTGAACCAAGAAGATGACATCCAACCGACACCTGTCCATACAATAAGATGACATTTAGCTCCGCATGTCAATATACTGAGATAACATCCACCCACACATCTCTCCCACACTGAGATAACATCCACCCTCACATGCACCCCCACACTGAGATAAAACCCACCCACACATCTCCCCCACACTGAGATAACATCCACCCACACATGTCCCCCACACTGAGATAACATCCACCCACACATCTCCCCCACACTGAGATAACATCCACCCACACATCTACCCCACACTGAGATCACATCCACCCACACATCTCCCCCACACTGAGATAACATCCACCCACACATCTACCCCACACTGAGATCACATCCACCCACACATCTCCCCCACACTGAGATAAAACCCACCCACACATCTCCCCCACACTGAGATAACATCCACCCACACATGTCCCCCACACTGAGATAACATCCACCCACATTTCTCCCCCACACTGAGATAACATCCACCCACCATCTCCCACAGACTAAGATCACATCCAACCACACATCTCCCCCACACTGAGATAACACCCACCCACACATCTCCCACACACTGAGATCGCATCCAACCACACATCTCCCCCACACTGAGATAACATCCACCCACACTTCTCCCCCACACTGAGATAACATCCACCCACACATCTCCCCCACACTGATAACATCCACCCACACATCTCCCCCACACTGAGATAACATCCACCCACACATCTCCCACACACTGAGATCACATCCAACCACACATCTCCCCCACACTGAGATAACACCCACCCACACATCTCCCCCACACTGATAACATCCAACCACACATCTCCCCCACACTGAGATCACATCCACCCACACATCTCCCCCACACTGATAACATCCACCCACACATCTCCCCCACACTGAGATCACATCCACCCACACATCTCCCCCACACTGATAACATCCAACCACACATCTCCCCAGGACGAGTTTGCCGTCAAACGTATCCTCTACCTGATCATCTTACCTGTCCTCATCGTCGTGGGCACCTTCGGCAACGTCTTCTCCTTCATCATTCTCAGACGGAAACAGATGCTCAAGGTCTCGTCTTACCTGTACTTAGGTAGGTCATCTTACCTGTACTTAGGTAGGTCATCTTACCTGTACTTAGGTAGGTCATCTTACCTGTACTTAGGTAGGTCATCTTACCTGTACTTAGGTAGGTCATCTTATCTGTACTTAGGTAGGTCATCTTACCTGTACTTAGGTAGGTCATCTTACCTGTACTTAGGTAGGTCATCTTACCTGTACTTAGGTAGGTCATCTTACCTGTACTTAGGTCATCTTACCTGTACTTAGGTAGGTCATCTTACCTGTACTTAGGTAGGTCATCTTATCTGTCCTTAGGTAGGTCATCTTATCTGTACTTAGGTAGGTCATCTTACCTGAACTTAGGTCGGTCATCTTACCTGTTCTTAGGTAGGTGCCGCAAAACAAATATACCTACATATATGTCGCCAGACAATACGACGGGAGCCCATTTGATGGGAGCCAATATATCGGGACCCTTTTTGTCGTTTTCTTAACTGGGTTATTTTGTCAGGGCCTTTTTTGGCGATGCAGCCATTTATTTATATGACAATAAATAAAAACATTGATGGCTCATGCAAATGTATATTCCACTTTTAGCAGTATGTAAGTGCCGGTGTAAGGAGTCTATGTTTCTCTGTATGGTGGACTAGTAAATGGTTTATGCGTCCATTTATATTTAGAGAAGTGCCAACCTATAAAATAGCAGCCCACGCTTTTAGCATAGTTATACAAACACTGGGCTTTTATTTTATTTCAAGTAAATTTTCAAAAAACATTTGCACTTATATAAGATTTTTTTATTGTCAATATCCCAATATATCTATTATATTTGTTTAAAATCTCAATCCTTTACATTGCGAGATTAAAAAATCTATTTAAAAAACTCAGCTCGGCCTTGAAGGAGGATTTTTTCTACTTCCTTCTCCCCCCTCCCTCCACCCCCACCCCATCCCCTCTCTGTAATTTTTTGTTGTTGAAAACCTTGTTTTCACGACAGCCTCGCTTTGATGGCAATAACTTCTGTTTTATAAGACAAAGCCAGAATACGATATATTTTTAGCCTTGTGGTAATTTCCCTTTCAGGGGACTGATTCTTCCAGTTGATTAATCGCGTCGAACTAATTAAGCAAGGTATTTAATTAGGTATTTTACGGCCTTATAAGTACCTACCTTATCCGTTTACCATAATGTTTAGAGTAAAACATTTAATTAACTCGGCCACCGTACAAGAAATGTAAGGATAAAAAGGTAATAAAGCTAGAACAGAACAGACGTCCTTAAGATCACCTTGGTTTTCTCTTACAAGTGTTGTCAGTGCTTTAAGGTAACTAGGTAACTTCTAGAACATCTCAGAATTTAAATAATGTCACAGAATTCTTAAAATATTTTAGAATTTTTCGCATATCTCAGAATTCATAGAATATCACAGAATTGCAAGAATATCTCAATTCCTAAAATATCTCAGAATTATAAGAATATCTCAGAATCCCTAGAATATTTCAGAATTGTAAGAATATTTCAGAATCCCTAGAATATCTCAGAATTCCTTAGAATATCTCAGAATCCCTAGAATATCTCAGAATCCCTAGAATATCTCAGAATCCCTAGAATATCTCAGAATCCCTAGAATATCTCAGAATCCCTAGAATATCTCAGAATCCTTAGAATATCTCAGAATCCCTAGAATATCTCAGAATCCCTAGAATATCTCAGAATCCCTAGAATATCTCAGAATCCCTAGAATATCTCAGAATCCTTAGAATATCTCAGAATCCCTAGAATATCTCAGAATCCCTAGAATATCTCAGAATCCCTAGAATATCTCAGAATCCCTAGAATATCTCAGAATCCTTAGAATATCTCAGAATCCCTAGAATATCTCAGAATCCCTAGAATATCTCAGAATCCCTAGAATATCTCAGAATCCCTAGAATATCTCAGAATCCCTAGAATATCTCAGAATCCCTAGAATATCTCAGAATCCCTAGAATATCTCAGAATCCCTAGAATATCTCAGAATCCCTAGAATATCTCAGAATCCCTAGAATATCTCAGAATCCTTAGAATATCTCAGAATCCCTAGAATATCTCAGAATCCCTAGAATATCTCAGAATCCCTAGAATATCTCAGAATCCCTAGAATATCTCAGAATCCTTAGAATATCTCAGAATCCCTAGAATATCTCAGAATCCCTAGAATATCTCAGAATCCCTAGAATATCTCAGAATCCCTAGAATATCTCAGAATCCCTAGAATATCTCAGAATCCCTAGAATATCTCAGAATCCCTAGAATATCTCAGAATCCCTAGAATATCTCAGAATCCCTAGAATATCTCAGAATCCCTAGAATATCTCAGAATCCCTAGAATATCTCAGAATCCCTAGAATATCTCAGAATCCCTAGAATATCTCAGAATCCTTAGAATATCTCAGAATCCCTAGAATATCTCAGAATCCCTAGAATATCTCAGAATCCTTAGAATATCTCAGAATCCCTAGAATATCTCAGAATCCCTTGAATATCTCAGAATCCTTAGAATATCTCAGAATCCCTAGAATATCTCAGAATCCCTAGAATATCTCAGAATCCCTAGAATATCTCAGAATCCCTAGAATATCTCAGAATCCCTATAATATCTCAGAATCCCTAGAATATCTCAGAATCCTTAGAATATCTCAGAATCCCTAGAATATCTCAGAATCCCTAGAATATCTCAGAATCCCTAGAATATCTCAGAATCCCTAGAATATCTCAGAATCCTTAGAATATCTCAGAATCCCTAGAATATCTCAGAATCCCTAGAATATCTCAGAATCCCTAGAATATCTCAGAATCCTTAGAATATCTCAGAATCCCTAGAATATCTCAGAATCCCTAGAATATCTCAGAATCCCTAGAATATCTCAGAATCCCTAGAATATCTCAGAATCCTTAGAATATCTCAGAATCCCTAGAATATCTCAGAATCCCTAGAATATCTCAGAATCCCTAGAATATCTCAGAATCCCTAGAATATCTCAGAATCCCTAGAATATCTCAGAATCCCTAGAATATCCCAGAATCTCTAGAATATCTCAGAATCCTTAGAATATCTCAGAATCCCTAGAATATCTCAGAATCCCTAGAATATCTCAGAATCCCTAGAATATCTCAGAATCCTTAGAATATCTCAGAATCTCTAGAATATCTCAGAATCCATAGAATATCTCAGAATCCCTAGAATATCTCAGAATCCCTAGAATATCTCAGAATCCCTAGAATATCTCAGAATCCCTAGAATATCTCAGAATCCCTAGAATATCTCAGAATCCTTAGAATATCTCAGAATCCCTAGAATATCTCAGAATCCCTAGAATATCTCAGAATCCCTAGAATATCTCAGAATCCCTAGAATATCTCAGAATCCTTAGAATATCTCAGAATCCCTAGAATATCTCAGAATCCCTAGAATATCTCAGAATCCCTAGAATATCTCAGAATCCCTAGAATATCTCAGAATCCCTAGAATATCTCAGAATCCCTAGAATATCTCAGAATCCTTAGAATATCTCAGAATCCCTAGAATATCTCAGAATCCCTAGAATATCTCAGAATCCCTAGAATATCTCAGAATCCCTAGAATATCTCAGAATCCCTAGAATATCTCAGAATCCCTAGAATATCTCAGAATCCTTAGAATATCTCAGAATCCCTAGAATATCTCAGAATCCCTAGAATATCTCAGAATCCTTAGAATATCTCAGAATCCCTAGAATATCTCAGAATCCCTAGAATATCTCAGAATCCCTTGAATATCTCAGAATCCTTAGAATATCTCAGAATCCCTAGAATATCTCAGAATCCCTAGAATATCTCAGAATCCCTAGAATATCTCAGAATCCCTAGAATATCTCAGAATCCCTATAATATCTCAGAATCCCTAGAATATCTCAGAATCCTTAGAATATCTCAGAATCCCTAGAATATCTCAGAATCCCTAGAATATCTCAGAATCCCTAGAATATCTCAGAATCCCTAGAATATCTCAGAATCCTTAGAATATCTCAGAATCCCTAGAATATCTCAGAATCCCTAGAATATCTCAGAATCCCTAGAATATCTCAGAATCCTTAGAATATCTCAGAATCCCTAGAATATCTCAGAATCCCTAGAATATCTCAGAATCCCTAGAATATCTCAGAATCCCTAGAATATCTCAGAATCCTTAGAATATCTCAGAATCCCTAGAATATCTCAGAATCCCTAGAATATCTCAGAATCCCTAGAATATCTCAGAATCCCTAGAATATCTCAGAATCCCTAGAATATCTCAGAATCCCTAGAATATCCCAGAATCTCTAGAATATCTCAGAATCCTTAGAATATCTCAGAATCCCTAGAATATCTCAGAATCCCTAGAATATCTCAGAATCCCTAGAATATCTCAGAATCCTTAGAATATCTCAGAATCTCTAGAATATCTCAGAATCCATAGAATATCTCAGAATCCCTAGAATATCTCAGAATCCCTAGAATATCCCAGAATCTTTAGAATATTCCAGAATCCCTAGAATATCTTAGCTCCATGCTAACACCTAGAAGGGACGGTACAACTTGAAACAAGTCCTGTGAAGGTTCAGAGATTCTTTTTCATATTTATTCAGTCCTGATATTTTTTCCTTAGCCATTCATAACAGGTAGAATCCACATTTGGTCTACCAAATGCCTGTTACATATTTTGTCTCGTTAACAACCTAACGAGGTTATACAATCTGAGCAAACACCAATACGTTATTAAATATTTGTCAATATGGGAAGAAACAGGTGGGAAAAAAAGTTTCGTAAAAATTGTTAAATCATATGACCTCAGTCATTGACGATAACACATTTGTACCAAATTATGAGATCGAATCAAAATTAAAAGCTGTCCTGTGTATGTCCTGTGTCTGACACGAGCTGTCCTGTGTCTGACACGAGCTGTCCTGTGTCTGACACCAGCTGTCCTGTGTCTGACACGAGCTGTCCTGTGTCTGTCCTGTGTCTGACACGAGCTGTCCTGTGTCTGACACGAGCTGTCCTGTGTCTGACACGAGCTGTCCTGTGTCTGACACGAGCTGTCCTGTGTCTGACACGAGCTGTCCTGTGTCTGACACGAGCTGTCCTGTGTCTGACACGAGCTGTCCTGTGTCTGTCCTGTGTCTGACACAAGCTGTCCTGTGTCTGTCCTGTGTCTGACACGAGCTGTCCTGTGTCTGACACGAGCTGTCCTGTGTCTGACACGAGCTGTCCTGTGTCTGACACGAGCTGTCCTGTGTCCACAGCCGTGCTGGCCATCATCGACACCTGCGTGCTGTACATCGGTGGCCTGCGGCTGTTCCTGCTTCACCTGCTGCAGGTAGACATACAGGACCTGGGCGACTGGCAGTGTAAGGTCATCGTGACCTTCAGCTACGTCGTGGCGGACTTGTCGGTCTGGCTCATCATCGCTGTCACGGTAGAGAGGTGAGTGTGTCACGGTGGAGAGGTGAGTGTCACGGTGGAGAGGTGAGTGTGTCAAGGTGGAGAGGTGAGTGTGTCACGGTGGAGAGGTGAGTGTGTCACGGTGGAGAGGTGAGTGTGTCACGGTGGAAAGGTGAGTATGTCACGGTGGAGAGGTGCGTGTGTCACGGTGGAGAGGTGAGTGTCACGGTGGAGAGGTGAGTGTGTCACGGTGGAGAGGTGAGTGTGTCACGGTGGAGAGGTGAGTGTGTCACGATGGAGAGGTGAGTGTCACGGTGGAGAGGTGAGTGTGTCACGGTGGAGAGGTGAGTGTGTCACGGTGGAGAGGTGAGTGTGTCACGGCGGAGAGGTGAGTGTGTCACGGCGGAGAGGTGAGTGTGTCACGTTGGAGAGATAAGTGGATTATTTCTAAAAATCCGCCTCTGAATATTGTTTGCGTACAAACTACCGACACCTGAAATGACCTTGAATTGACCTTGTGTTTCCTCTCCCCCCCCCCCCCCCACCCACACAGGTACATCGTTGTCTGCTTCCCCTTCCGTGCCAGCTCCATGTGTAACGTGACGAGGGCCAAGAAGGTTATCTTCTCTTTGTTCCTCTTGTTCCTGGCATTCAACTCGCACACTTTCTGGACAGTCAGGGTGAGTGGGGTGTGTGGGGTGGGGTGTGTGGGGTCGTGAGTGGGGTGTGTGGGGTGTGTGCTGTCGTGAGTGGGGTGGTGAGTGGGGTGTGTGGAGTGGTGAGTGGGATGTGTGGGGTGGTGAGTGGGGTGGTTAGTGGGGTGGTGAGAGGGATGGTGAGTGGGGTGTGTGTGGTGTGTGGGTTGAGTGGGGTGGTGAGTAGGATGGTGAGTGGGGTGGTGAGTGGGTGTGGGGAATGAGTGTGGGGTGAGCACAGTTGTAGGGTTAGATTTTGCACGGTGGTAGTGTTTGGTTTAACCAACATGTTGTGTTGTGTTTGTTAATATGACCACATTTTGTGTGTGGTACTATGACCAACTGTGTGTGGTACTATAACAACATTTTTTGTGATGTATATGCTATTATACCCATGTTTATCCCTCACCCCTCTCCCCACAGCTGGACTCTAAAGGAATCTGCTCACCCGGGGAAGAATATAAATACATGTACAATCATGTTTGGTCTATGATCGACTTTATTGTTTACAGTATATTTCCTTTCATTAGTATAACAATCATGAATATACTTATTATAAAAGAGGTACGTGATACATATTTTATGGTATACATTTTTTACTTTATAACATATTTTATTATGTCTACTCCTTGTAGGCTTAGTTAACTTATGCATCGAAATGTATTGTTTGACGTCATTTTTACTCATTTATAACGCAACAAGTACTCATTGTTATAATACCTTATTTTATAAGACAACTAAAACAATTACTTAAAAACACCATATACAGATACCTTTCACTGACCACAATCCCCCACTAATGCCCACAATCCCCCACTGACTCCCCCAATCCCCCACTGACTCCCCCAATCCCCCACTGACTCCCACAATCCCCACTGACTCCCCCAATCCCCCACTGACTCCCACAATCCCAAACTAACTCTCACAATCACCACTAACTCTCACAATCACCACTGACTCCCACAATCCCCCACAATCCCCCACTGACTCCCCCAATCCCCACTGACTTCCACAATCCCCACTGACTCCCACAATCCCCACTAACTTCCACAATCCCCCACTGACCCCCACAATCCCCCATTGACTCCTCCAATCCCCCACTGACTCCCACAATCCCCCACTGACTCCCACAACCCCCCACTGACTCCCCCACTGACCCCCACTGACCCCCACAATCCCCCCAATCCCCCACAAACTCCCACAATCCCCCACTGACTCCCCCACTGACCCCCACTGACCCCCACAATCCCCCACAATCCACCACTGACCCCCACAATCCCCCACAATCCACCACTGACCCCCACAATCCCCCATTGACTCCTCCAATCCCCCACTGACTCCCACAATCCCCCACTGACTCCCACAACCCCCCACTGACTCCCCCACTGACCCCCACTGACCCCCACAATCCCCCACAATCCACCACTGACGCCCACAATCCCCCACTGACTCCCACAACCCCCCACTGACTCCCCCCACTGACCCCCACTGACCCCCACAATCCCCCACAATCCACCACTGACGCCCACAATCCCCCACTGACTCCCACAATCCCCCACAATCCCCCAATCCCCCACTGACTCCCACAATCCCCCACTGACTCCCACAATCCCCCAATCCCCCACTGACTCCCACAATCCCCTACATTACAGGTGGCCTGGGCCAGGTCGAACCGTGTCCTGTTGTCTGGCACCGAGCACGAGAACTCGTCCAGCCACCTGGGCACCTCGTGCACCGGTCACAGACGGTGCAACATGGGGGAGGGGCCGCGGCTGACCATCCTCCTGCTGACCGTGTCCTTCACCTTCCTGGTCTTCACCTTCCCCAACAACATCTTCATCTCGTTCTCACACGTCTGGAACCAGGCGGATAGCACGGTCTATGTAAGTACCGGAAGTGGCCAGATAACACGGTCTATGTAAGTACCGGAAGTGGCCAGATAGCACGGTCTATGTAAGTACCGGAAGTGGCCAGATAGCAAGGTCTATGTAAGTACCGGAAGTGGCCAGATAGCAAGGTCTATGTAAGTACCGGAAGTGGCCAGATTTTGTTAGCACGGTCTATGTAAGTACCGGAAGTGGCCAGATAGCACGGTCTATGTAAGTACCGGAAGTGGCCAGTTTTTGTTAGCACGGTCTATATAAGTACCGGAAGTGGCCAGATAGCACGGTCTATGTAAGTACCGGAAGTGGCCAGATAGCACGGTCTATGTAAGTACCGGAAGTGGCCAGATTTTGTTAGCACGGTCTATGTAAGTACCGGTTATTGCCTGGTTTACATGAGTACTAGTTTCATCTGATAAGACTATTTAGACTGTTTGTAAACATGATCGCCCTTGACCTTTGTGCTCTTTGTGTTTCACCCCTCAAAAACCTTGACTTTTGTTTGGATATAAATGAGTTAGTCTGCATCAACAACATAAACTTTGATAATAAATGAGAAGGTCAGAGTTGAATCGCGTGCGTATACACGTACTAAATACCCAGATCCCGCACATCGCTTCAATCAACAGCTGTTAATTACATCTCACTGTTAATTACGTTAATTGTGTTTACCTTGTCAGAGACCATCTAAAATGAGAACAAACAACTTAATGTTGGCTTTTTATTCTCCCTAAACTGGGTGAAAATTTTCATGTTAGCCCCGCCACATTAGCTTAGTGAGTTTTTTAAAACAGTTTTTGTTGACATCGACGTTAGCTTTTCTGTGGTTAACCACACGTCTTTAACAGCTTTTGTTGGCAACTTTTCTGTGGTTAACCACACGTCTTTAACAGTTTTTGTTGGCAACTTCTGTGGTTAACCACACGTCTTTAACAGCTTTTGTTGGCAACTTTTTAGTGGTCAACTATACGTCTTTAACAGCTTTTGTTGGCAACTTTTATGTGGTTAACCACACGTCTTTTTTTAGATTCTCTGGCCACAATTCCGTGATCGATTCGAGAATTAAATAACCCGAAGGGCAAACAACTCCCGTGTCTAGCTAAACCATTCCCAGGGGCAGGTAACTACCGCTTTACGATAAAACAATGTCAAGGGCGTGAACTCATGCTAGCACTGGCAGGTTGAGAAAACGAGGGGGGGGGGGGGGCAGTTTGGCTAAATGTGACAAGAATACGGACAGCTAGTTTGGCTAAATTTGACACGAATAGAGACAACTAGTTTGGCTAAATTTGACACGAATAGAGACAGCTAGTTTGGCTAAATTTGACACGAATAGAGACAGCTAGTTTGGCTAAATTTGACACGAATAGAGACAGCTAGTTTGGCTAAATTTGACACGAATAGAGACAGCTAGTTTGGCTAAATTTGACACGAATAGAGACAGCTAGTTTGGCTAAATGTGACAAGAATAGGGGCAGCTAGTTTGGCTAAATGTGACAAGAATAAGGACAGCTAGTTTGGCTAAATGTGACAAAAATAGGGACAGCTAGTTTGGCTAAATGTGACAAGAATAAGGACAGCTAGTTTGGCTAAATGTGATAAAAATAGGGGCGGCTAGTTTGGCTAAATGTGACAAGAATAAGGCTAGCTAGTTTGGTTAAATGTGAACTGATTCATTTTATTATCTCAGTCTTATAAACTCCGGTAACCAAACGAAACCCTTACAACTGTCTTGTAATCAAAGACACATTCAAGACACATCCATGGTATCCACTTGATTCTCCTGAGTCCATTTGGTAAACAGGAAGTTGTAGAGTCAGTCAGGGATATCTGGCACCAGTACAACTCTCTGGATAGGTTTTGTTACACTGTGAGGTGTATTTTGTGAGGTGTATATTGTGAGGTGTATATTGTGAGGTGTATATTGTGAGGTGTATATTGTGAGGTGTGGCCTATATTGTGAGGTGTGCATATAATGTAAGGTGTATATTGTGAGGTGTATATTGTGAGGTGTATATTGTGAGGTGTATATTGTGAGGTGTATATGGTGAGGTGTATTTTGTGAGGTGTGGCCTATAATGTAAGGTGTATATTTTTATGTGCATATTGTGAGGTGTATATGGTGAGGTGTATATTGTGAGGTGTTTTTTGTAAGGTGTATTTTGTGACGTGTATTTTGTGAGGTGTATATTGTGGGGTATATATTGTGAGGTGTATTTTGTGAGGTGTATATTGTGAGGTGTATATTGTGAGGTGTATTTTGTGAGGTGTATATTGTGAGGTGTATATTGTGAGGTGTATATTGTGAGGTGTATATTGTGAGGTGTATATTGTGAGGTGTATATTGTGAGGTGTATATTGTGAGGTGTATATTGTGAGGTGTATATTGTGAGGTGTGGCCTATATTGTGAGGTATTTATGGTGAGGTGTAAGTTGTATGTTATTTTATATGGAGTATATTGTGAGATGTATATTGTGTGTCCTGTAGTTGAACGATTGCCCACCAACTTACCTGTGATTGTCTAGTAATTGAATGATTGCCCACCAACTTACCTGTGATTGTCCTGTAGTTGAATGATTGCCCACCTGTAAACCACCTGTGTCTATTCCAGCGCGCCAAGCTGAACGTGGCCCGGGCTATAGCCGAACTGCTGATGTACGCCAACCATTCCATCAACTTCTTCCTCTACTGCGCCACAGGCAACAAGTTCCGCCAGCAGATCCTCGAGCTCTGCCGCTGTCTCAGGCGGCGACACAGGGGCAGCAACCACACCACCTTCACCCACACCCACTCCATCCGCCGCGCCTCCCAGTCCTACATGGGAGGGGAGGGGGGCGAGGTGATGGTCACCCTGAAGTCGGAACGCCGGAGGAGCAGCTGTTTGAGCAGTGAGATCAACGGCGACAGTCACGAGGGTGAGGCCGAGCACTGCCGGGTCCTGTCCGTCAAGCCCCACCACGTCAACGGGAAAACCAAAGCTGGAGACAGCGACGACAACGGGAATGACCGAAGTTACGGGAAATCCCGGAACGCGTATGGGATTTCCCGGAATCATGAGAAGAAAGATAAACGGAAACAGAACGGGTCATCGCGACACGGCTTTGGTCCCGCCCACCAGGTGAAAGATTACGACACGTTGGATAAGTCACCCATCGGGTCAGGTCAGGTCAGGGGTCGGGCCAGCAACGGCGGGGGGTGGAAGGTGTACTACAGCAGCAGCAAGAGGAACCGGCCCGCCCCACAGGAACAGATGCGCCGGACCTTCGGCTCAGTGGACGACATCAGCCCCAAGGACAAGGAGTACATCCTGCTGCAGCCCACTATCAGGTGGTGTGAGGCGTCGGTGCTGTCGTGAGACCTGCACACACTAGAGACCAGCACAAACAGCGTTGTGAAAAGTCGGTGCTATCGTGAGACCATTTCAAACTGTCTAAAAATTGAAGACTAATCATATAGACCAGCACAAACTAGACGAAAACTTAATTATAAAAACTGGCTATACCAGCGGATTAAAACCGACACAGCTGTTGTTTTCAGAATTATCAAGAACAGTTGTTTGAAAGCCTAATAAAACCTCATGTTAAAAACTGACAAAATATACACGTTTTTGTTAAATGACAAAAATATGTGTTTGAAATTGGCCATGTTTTACAGTCATTCTAGTGTTCTAGCGAGTGTTCTTACAGTCATCAGTCATGTAACGAGTGTTCTTACAGTCATCAGTCATGTAACGAGTGTTCTTACAGTCATCAGTCATGTAACGAGTGTTCTTACAGTCATCAGTCATGTAACGAGTGTTCTTACAGTCATCAGTCATGTAACGAGTGTTCTTACAGTCATCAGTCATGTAACGAGTGTTCTTACAGTCATCAGTCATGTAACGAGTGTTCTTTCACTCATCAGTTCTATAACGAGTCAGGAAAACAAAATCAGAAATTGTGGAAACCACGGCGTCCATAGACCCATGATACTCAACACATCGGCCCGGATGTTCGTCCATTCTCTCGACTGTTTCAGGCTTCAGACGTGACTTAATGGATGGGAGGGATGTAAATATTTCAACTTCACACCTGACACTGACACGTACTGTCAACAGACAGGTGTCACTGACACGTACTGTCAACAGACAGGTGTCACTGACACGTACTGTCAACAGACAGGTGTCACTGACACGTACTGTCAACAGACAGGTGTCACTGACACGTACTGTCAAGTGACACTTGTCACTGATGTCAATTACCAGTAAACAAACCTGCAACAAGATTTTATAATTTTGTGATGTCACTTTGTGATGTCACTTTGTGATGTCACCCTATAGTGCCACCATCTTGTGATGTCACCTCGAGTTGTCATCTCAATAAAAACACGCACGCTTATGTCATTTAATGACAAGATTTTAAAATTTGCAAGCACGACATGGGGATGAGACGGGTCAAATGCCCAGCGGATATGACGTCATATCCCCATAGGTCCGCCACTCAAGGAAATTGTGAACAGCATTACATCAACCTTCTGGTTGGGATTTTTGTGTCTGGTGTGGTTTTAATGTGAACTGATAGAAATGTCATTTATTGCTGACAGAACTGTCATTTATTGCTGACAGAACTGTCATTTCCTGCTGACAGAATAGTATTTCATTCTGCCAGAGGTGTCATTTGAATGTGAGTGCCATTAGAAAGGTTTGAAGAAGGTTGCGCTTTTGCCTGTGGTAGGTTTGGAGGAGGTTGCTCTACTGCCTGTGGTAGGTTTGGAGAAGGTTGCTCTATTTCCTGTGGTAGGTTTGGAGAAGGTTGCTCTATTTCATGTGGTAGGTTTGGAGAAGGTTGCTCTACTGCCTGTGGTAGGTTTGGAGAAGGTTGCTCTATTGCCTGTGGTAGGTTTGGAGAAGGTTGCTCTATTGCCTGTGGTAGGTTTGGAGGAGGTTGCTCTATTGCCTGAGGTAGGTTTGGAGAAGGTTGCTCTACTGCCTGTGGTAGGTTTGGAGGAGGTTGCTCTACTGTCTGTGGTAGGTTTGGAGAAGGTTGCTCTACTGCCTGTGGTAGGTTTGGAGGTTGCTCTACTGCCTGTGGTAGGTTTGGAGAAGGTTGCTCTACTGCCTGTGGTAGGTTTGGAGGTTGCTCTACTGCCTGTGGTAGGTTTGGAGGAGGTTGCTCTACTGCCTGTGGTAGGTTTGGAGGTTGCTCTACTGCCTGTGGTAGGTTTGGAGGTTGCTCTACTGCCTGTGGTATGGCCCCAGCACCATAAGACAGCTAGACGGCAGACTAGTAAGGCAAAGACTGGGCTGTCACTGGGGACTTGGATTCATTTAGTACTCGTGGACGTTGGTTACAGCTACGGTTGTCACGTGGTTGGTCATCTACGCTACACGTATCAAATGGTGAGAGCCTCCATGTCAATGTGAGCAGCCTCGTTATCGATGGAAGGAGCCTCGTTATCGATTGAAGGAGCCTCGCTTTAAAAGAGTAGCAACCCTACCGTATGAACTATCAGCTGTGTTGGATATGTTGCACAGTGTAAAAAACATAAGGATGTTACAGGCTTAAAAAAGCAACATTCCTTGCAACAGTGTAGATTCTAGGAAAATGACGTTACATACATGTAGATTCTAGGAAAATGACGTTACATAAAGTAGATCCTGGAAAACCAGCATTGTACTACAACGGGATTCGGGACCTCAAATGGTCATAGTTGTAAGGAGCTCAACAAGATACTTTTATTGGTTTAATTAATTAACTTAACAAGATGTTGTTGTAGGTTTAATTAATTAACAACGTGACACTGTTTCATTAATTAACTCAACAAGATACTGTTATAGAAAGCTCAATGAAAGCCAATATTTGCTCAGATTTTTGTTATGTCCATGTAAAACCACAGTTTAAAATAAAACCACATTATTGTAATGTTTCAAATCACATCTTTGCCGCAGTATAATAAGCCAATCATAATCAAATGTATAGCGATCTATATTTTTTGATGTTTCATTATAGCTACACATGTTTTCTTCTGAAAATTGACAATTTCAAAACATAACTTGACATTATTGAATTATAACTCGTTTGCTATCATTTTTTCATCGTTCATTTCTAACTTGATATTGTTCAGTTCTACTTGGCATTGTTCAACTTGTTGGTCACTAACTTGACTTTCGTTATGTCTACTACAATGTCCAGCTTCAATAGAAATAGTGTTTTAGTCTAGATCTTATCTTTCTGATTCAATTACAGTAAAAATATACCAGATCGTACAGGACAGACATATGAAGATATATATATATATATATATATATATATATATATATATATATATATATATATATATATATATATATATATATATATACGTAAGTATAAATAAATAAATATACATATATATATATGTATATCTATATTTATTGATGTATATGTATGTATGTTTGTATGTAGACCTATTTATATGTATAAATACAAATGTGTATATATGTATATATACATTTATATGCTTATATATAAGTATGTGTATATGTATATATTTGTAATTATATTTAAAAATGATCTGTATTTATATATATGTATATTTATTATGTATGTATATACATGTAAAATAAGCAAAAGTTTATGCCTTAGCTTACATTATGAGTTGAATTGATGTTGTGTGATAATGTATTTTTATCTAATTAATTACGGTAATATATCTGTTGTTGTTATTACTAACATTCATTTAATGCACAAATTAATTAACATTCTTAACTTTGCTGATTACTATAGTACAATGTTCACCTAAAAAACGGAATGACTGCCCACATCTTGTAGTAGACTGTATAACTAACTTACAGCTTCATCGAATCAACCACTCGCTGTTTCTACCCACAAAGTTGACTCATTGTTTCAAGCTTGTGATGACATTGTTTACGTTTTACCTTCATTAAAACAAGAATATATGCCATGAACGTCTGTTCTAATCGGTAGAGACTAATTAATTAGCCTAGAATGTATGTGTTTGTCTTGTTTGCGTCACCACTACTGAACATGACAGACTGTTACTAAACAAACACTTCGTTGCAAACTTCATTGACGACTCTTGATATGTAATACTGTGTATAGCACTCTGATTATATGTGCGTGTGTGTACGTTCATATGCACGTGTAAACGGAATTATTATATGTTTTCATATATGTATAAGTATATACAGATCGACGTTTGCACATACATAAGTATGTAATGAACTTACTGGTGATACAATTATATGATTTAAATTAAACTTGGTGAACTAACTTTTGTTTTACATTTTGTTTATACGTGACGGTAAATTAACTTGTTATACATCATTGTCTATACGTGATGAAGTTAACTTGATTGAGTCAAATATACACAAAGTCAGATGTTACCTGGTTCTTACCACGTGACGTGTGGCAGGAACCACGTGACGTGAGACAGGGAACTTACCACGTGATGTATGGCAGGGAACTTACCACGTGACGTGTGGCAGGGAACTTACCACGTGACGTATCTCGAGGAACTTGTTGTCTTGATGTGTGACAGGGAACCCAGCAAGTCAAATATTCTGGGAACCAAACAATGGAGTGCGTACACGTCAAACGCTATCGAAGAAAAACAAGAAAGATAAAACTTGAACGATTGTAAGCTTTTAAAGGCACTAAAATTAGAAAATAAAAACAACTCTTTCTTTACTAAAAGCTTTGGTCGTCCATGTAATATTTTTTTTTTTTAATTTAAAAGGAAAATATATCTTGATGTATGAAAATATGGTGGGAGGATATTTATGAATTAATCTCTGCACATTAGAGCGAAAAATGCTGTAAAAGTTGTGAAGAGAGAAAGAAAAGTTTATTCGCTTGATTTTACTGCTTTTAAAAGTTGATTTTTATTTTGGCTTTTAAAAACAGCAGCGTATGTATTCCTGTTGTTTCATTGGTTGAAATTACGTTTAAGGTATAATTTATAATGTATTGCAGTTGAAAATGAGTTGCTCATGTAGAATCTTGGATTACAGTTCTAGTTTTGAGATATAAGCACCCACTCAATCACTCACCCACCCACCCACCCACCCACCCACCCACCCACTCACCCACCCACCCACCCACCCACTCACCCACCCACCCACCCACCCACTCACTCAATCACTCACCCACCCACCCACCCACCCACTCACTCAATCACTCACCCACCCACCCACCCACCCACTCACTCAATCACTCACCCACCCACCCACTCAATCACTCACCCACCCACCCACCCACTCACCCACCCACCCACCCACCCACCCACCCACCCACCCACTCACCCACCCACCCATCCACCCACTCACCCACCCACCCACCCACCCACTCACTCAATCACTCACCCACCCACCCACTC